TCCATTTCAAAAACCTAAACTGAGTCTGGAAAAATGCAAAAGACAGATAACGCCCTCATGAGCAGCTGAATACAACAGTGATAAACCACATCTAGGTAACAGCAGGTAAATCCTCCATTTTCTGTCATAATTACATTGAATGCAGAATGGTTAAATTAAAGGTTAAAGCTAGTTGTGCTTTGTTTTGTGTGTTTTCTATGTAGATATAGTTGCAACTTCTGTTTGCATAAGTTAGCCTTTGTTATGATCAGTTAACACTAAACTGGTTGGGTACAAAGCGTTTGTTAGGTTGTGTAATTTAAAGCAGAGCGCGACGTATGTAGCTCTTAGCTAACGCGTTTGTCTTGCACGCCGCTAGCTTAGCGCTACTTCTTGTTGTGCCGAGCTCTCTAAAATAGTTACTGAATCAAGTGTTTACTTATGTTGGTAAACGTAGATGTTTAACAACCTGTTAAAATATACCAGCAGAAAATAGCATCTATTTATTAAAACATTTCTGGGGAGGACCCCCTCCCCCCCAGATTATGAATGCTTCTGACACCAATGGCCACCACGTTGTTCAAGCCATGAGCCACTGTCAGCACTGGGGGCTAAGCGCCCCTAAAGGTCAGCTTCTAGAATCGCCCCTGACTGCTGCAGCATATTATTTCATTGACACAACCTAGTCCTTTGTATTATTTATTACAACTTTTTCTGTCTTTAAAAGAGCTGTAAATATGCGGCTTTTGAGACCAGAGATCTTAAAGGTCTAACAAGGTCAAGTCAGGTCATAACCTTGTTATATTTATCTACCTGGATTATTGAGCTGCATCAGGACCGATCTAAAAGGTTCAATTGATAAACTTGAACTTTGATGCTGTGATCTTTTTTGTTAAGCACTTTGATAACAGTTACTGTTTAAAATGTGCTTTATCAATAAATTTGCCTTGACTTGATAAAATAGCTTTTCATAAAAAAATAAAAAAAAGGTTGGGATAGATTTGAGGAAAGTGCTGTGGAAAATGCCCGAATGGCTGAAAGTGGTTAGGACTGGTCAAAAATATTTTGAAACAGGCCTGCAGCTGGTCTCATTTAAATCAACCTGCAACTGAAGCAAAGGTGGAGCTTAAACACAATGAACAAAATATAAACGTTGTTTTTGCTTCCATTTTTCATGAGCTGACCTCAAAGATCTAAGACTTTTTCTATGTACACAAAAAGTATTTTTTTTCTCAAATACTGTTCACGAATTTGTGTTAATCTGTGTTAGTGAGCGCGTCTCCTTTGCTGAGATAATCCATCCACCTCACAGGCGAGGTATATCAAGATACTGATTAGAAAGCATGATTATTGCACAGGTGTGCTTTCGGCTGACCACAATAAAAGGCCACTCTTAAATGTGCAGTTTTATCTCACAGCACCATGACACACATGCTGCAGGTTTTGATGAAGTGTGAAGTTGGCTGCTGACTCGGAGTGTCCACCAGAGCTGTTGTCTGTGATATGAACGTTCATTTCTCTACCATAAGATGTCTCCAAAGCTAATTTGATTTCAGATAAATTGGCAGTACTGTACATCTAAAACAGCCTCCCAACTGCAGACCCACATGTAAGCACACAACCCAGGACCTCCACATCCAGCATCTTCACCTCCAAGATGGTCTGAGACCAGCCACCTGGACAGCTGCTGCAACAGTCTGTTTGTATAACCAAAGATTTTCAGTACAAACTGTCAGAAACCCTCAGGGAAGCTCATCTGAATGCTCGTCGTCCTCATCGTGGTCTCCACCTGACTGCCATTTGTCATCGTTGCAGACTTGAATGAGAAAATGCTCACATTCGATGGTGTATGGCACAGTGGAGAGGTGCTCTCTTCACAGATGAATCCTGTTTTTTTCTGTACAGGGCAGATGACAGACTGTGTGAACGGCATCATAAGGGTGAGCAGTTTGCTGATGTCAACGTTGTGAATCGAGTGGCCCGTGGTGGAGGTGGGGTTATGGTATGGGCAGGTGAATGCTATGAACTCCACACCGGTGTCTGGTGTGGCTACACATGGTCTGTGGTTGTGAGGCCGGTTGGATGCACTGCCAAATTATCCGAACATGGACATTCCTGCAGTCAGCATGCCAATTGTACGTTCCCTCAAAACCTGCATCATTAAAAATAAATAAATTGTACAGTAAGGTATCAGTATTGTATAAACAATACTGGCCCAATATTTACTTTGTATTGGATCAATATCAAATCTTGCAGTATCGCGCACCACTACCGTACCAGCGGCATCTCAGCTTTTGGACCATGCACATCATACTCGGTTCATTCACAAGAGTGAAGAAACATCTCAGCAGAAGTTAAAACAAAGTTTAAATCAGTGCGTTAATTCAGCCTAGATACCGAATATCCAGCTCCTGTAAATATTAAACATTTAAGAGTGCAAAAGTTCAACCTTGCGGAGTAGATATTTGAAGTTATTTAAAGCAACCAATGCTACTCTTTCCCAGGATCCTTTAAATAGTACCTACCATGCACTCGCACGGATTTAGCACTCAACTTTTTAATACTGTTCTTTAGTTTCTGCTTATTCAGACAATACTTAAAACTTCTACAAACACTGACCAGTTATGTTTTTGCCCGTGTGGTCTGTCGTGTGAGCCAAATATCCCAAACTGGTGAACATAATTTAATGAACCGTAGAAAATAATTAGTGGCTGTACCTCTTCAACTGAATAACTTTTGGAGTCAACCCAGTTCAGATGGTCAACCGAGCCAGCCATCACAAAAAAGCACATAACTGTCAAGTTTAACAAATATTCAGCTAAAATGTGATGTGGTAGTAATTACTCAGCATAAGATGGGATTAGTTTAAAACTCTGACAAGTTTGGTAAGTTTCCCCAGGCTACACTTTGTAATATGACCATTTTATTGTTATTCAACCAATATTTAAAATTAAACAGCAAAAATATTTCAGTTTAAGCGTCAAACACCAAACTACCAACACTTGCGAAGGTTCGAGTATAAACAAAAGCCATTGGATGCTTAAATATTAGAGGTGTTTAATCTTGAAAACTTAATTTCTTACATTAGATTTTAGTTTTAATTGTAAAGTTCTCAGGAAAAAAAAAAAAACAACAAAAACTAAATACAATTTAATTGGAAAACTAATGTATTGATTTCTTACTATACATGTTCTGTTAGCAAAAACAGTTTCAGTGCAGTCCCCCTGAACTTTACTAGATTTACACTCATTAAATGTCACCATTTAAAAAAATAAAACAAGCAATCAGTTTTAAAACGGTCACAAAAACAGTTAATGTTTCCAAAAAGGCACAGGATGGTCAGTAGAAACTGTATCCTTAGAGAATATTTGCATAATGGAATAAATACATCTGCTGGTCATTCAAATCAAACTGTGCCACAAAAGGAGGAACAGCCATCATACAATTACAGCAGAGCGCAACAGTACAAGTCATTGGAAAACGACCGTATATAAATATATTTTTTATAAAATATGGACTAAATCCAATGTAAAAGTTATTTAGTACCATTAATCAAAACTATGAACTGAAAGATTTCACTCATATACAGTATTAATAGTATTTGCCAAAATTATATTCAACACATAAAAAATATTATATCCTATATTCTGGGTAAAATGTGCAATTAATAGCTTTTGGGAGAGCAGGTTTGTGATCACAATCGTACACGACGACACATCTGAATTCCTTATTGCCAAATAATTACAGGTTTGCTGGTAAATCTCCCATCACAGGATTGAAGCTTCTTTGTAAAGAGACTAAATCTGCTCAGTGCTCCTATACGCAGTTTTACAAAATAGTTTTAATACTTAATACTGTGTTGTCTTAGACGTACTACACAGGTATAAGTTCTGAACTGTTTTAAGGGTGCAGAATGAACACGTTTCTTAGATGTAGCTCCAGTCCTTGTACTAGCTGGTTGTATAGTAAGTTTTGGGAGGTATACGTACAAATACATTTCTTTAATAGCTTTTATGTTAGCTGGGAGCATCTTGAAGCTTAAGTTTTATCCTGCCTGAGAAAAAACTTTAACTTCAGCTCGTAAACTGCAGCTATCACAATCATCTTAAATGAAATGCTCAAAAAAAAAATCCTGATAAGATAAATGATTTTCAACTATGTCTTCCGTTAATGCTTTAAAAAGTTTTCATTCTCTACCACAATAAATTCAATTAATTTATATTCTCATGATTCTGACAACGGTACAGAAACTGTATTTCTGAGACGACCTCTTAAGGTGCTGTCTGGGAACCAGGTTCACTGAAACAATAACTTCACTGTCTGACATTAAATTCACCGAACATGGAAATGAAGTAGCTCAAAGAATTAGTCTCTTTTCTTTCAAATATTTCCCCATGAGCCGCTGTTTATGTGAACGGTTTTGCCTTACCAGAAGGTTTCTACAAGCATTTATCAAAGCAGAAGACAACCGCTACCACACACTGAAGTCCTTGCAGCTTCGCCTCCCCTCAGTATCAAATGTGTTATTAAGATACAAACAAAACCTACAAAGGTAGATCCAACAACACACCATTTGTTGCTTATTATAAAACTCCCAATAAAATATGGGCACTTAGAGAAAACCACAAGTCTGAGAAGAAAAAAGAAAGATCCTGTTATCTAGGCCAGATATTGTGTCTCAACCTCACGGCAGAATTACTGTAAGCTAGGTTGTTTTTTCTCTTGACTTTGTAAATATGTATATATAGAAAAAAAAGAAGCATGAAGAAACGTCAACTTGTTAAGAAGGCAAGAAAAAAAAAACTTATTGAAAAGTAGTGCTTAATTATTGAATCACAGCTGCTGTGAGGGGGGAAAAGGCATTTCCTTGTTTCCCACATCTGATTTGAAGCAGGTTAGCTCTGACTGGAAGAAATGACTGGTTAGTAAGAAGGGTGAGATAAAACATCCTCAACCACCATAGATGATTCTGTCCTAAAAGTGATGCTTCAAATTAGGAACTACGTCAGATATGAAAGCAGCCTCAATGGTGCACATTTTAGCATTTAGTTAATCAGAACAAAATCAAGATAAGATAACCATGATCTTCAGAAAGTGTCATTAGCAAGAGTCTCCGTTGAGAGCCAGGTCCTTGCCCCGGTCAGAAATTTGCTAATGGGAGTCCCTTGGACACTTCGCCAGCACAGGTTTCCCTCAGGGCTGTAAGGAAAGGAGGAGGTAAGGACGTCTGGATCTGTAGGTGGGTCGTCTGGAGAACTGGCCTTTAAATACAGACTTCTTTGGTCTGAAGGGGGTCCACTTGGGCTTGGAAGTGGACTGTTCTCTGCAGCGGGTCCTTTGTATTGCCTGACTTTATTCTGAAGTGTCTCAATCTCATTGGTCAGTTGAAAAAGCCTGTTGTAGTATGCAGCGGGGCCTCCTTTAGTTATGCAGGACTCAGGAACCCAGCGTAGAAAGAAGAGCTTCCAGACAACCACATGTGTTGGCAGGAGCACGGGAATCAGAAGGCCCTGCAGGTTAACGGGCCGAGAAAACCAGTCCCTGAAGTAGCGTTCCGATGGGCTTTCATCTGTTGAGAATTCAGTCTTTAGCTCCGAGTTCAGGGAGCTCTGCCGGGACAATGTAGCCTCCCTTTGTCCATTCTGCTGTGACGTGGTTGGTCCTCGCACTGAGGAACTGTAGGCTTTCTGTTGGAGGAAAAGCACAGGGCTCAATTACAATTAAAGGGATGAGGGCTAATAAAGCAAGGTGCACTCCTCCCAGGTTTCTGACGCTTTCCCACACAGAAAAAAAAACTTTTGAAGAAGTGTTTTTGTATTTGCATATGGAACGTAAAGTCATCTCAGAGTGAAACCAGCTGAAAAGTCAATTACAGTTGAAGTAAAGATTTTTTTAAAAGTCTACTTTGGTCTGGCTGTTTAAAGCTACTGAAAACACACGGTGGTGCAACAAGACAAAAGATGAGGACATTAAAAAGCTTTTTCTAAAGGAACGATTAAACCATTTGAGAACAGCCACCTTGAACAAAAACCTTCACTTGGTTGTGCAACGGTTTCTGATTCTGCTGCCGATCACTGCTCAGGTCTTTGTGGACTATACTTTTTAGGTTCAGTCTAACTCTGTTGGATCCCAGTTCAATCTTGCATTTAATGGTGGGGGTGTGACTTAGGCCTGTCACGATAACTAATTTTGCTGGGCAATTAACTCTCAGAAATTATTGCGATAAACGATAATACTGTTTATTGGTACATTTTTTGCCCACTGGATGGCAGTATAAGACTGTCTGAACTTTAGTAAGGATAGTGAGGCAACAAGCAGCGTGTCTCTAAGAAAAATGGGAGGGAGGCCCCTTGACGTGACATGGGCTGTCTCTCTTTGGTTCTCAAAATGGCAGACGCTCAGTGTGGTTTGAGCTCTTTAGCATTTTTCACACAAAGCTTTTAATAAAAAAAAATCAGTAAACAAGTTCTCAGCTTCTTTTTGCAGAGAAAAACAACTTTTTACACGAAGGTACGGGTTTCAACCGTGAATATTGGAACTTTGACAAGACGGAGGTTTTTTTTCCCCCCGAGGTTGGCCTGTTAGCTTAATTCATAGCTTAGCTGCTTTTAACGATCCAAAAACGCGATTTTGGATCGTTAAAATGGATTTTAAAGAGAAAGGGAGGGGTCAGTGAGGAGCACCGGGCTTTTTGTCATCCAGTGTCTTCAGTAGAAAGAGAGACGCAAAGAAACTATAAAGCCGATAAATGAAAACGAGGTTGATAATTTTCATTTATCATGCGATTAATTGATTATTTATCGTGACAGGCTATGAATGACAAACACCATCTGCAATAAATCTGCCTAGTTTAATTATATTCAGTGCTGTAACCATCATGTTATAGATTCACGTCACGTGTCAGATTTACACTCGTAATATGAAAAAGATTTCAGAATATGAAAAGTGGCAACAAATAAAAGTTGACAAAAAAAAATCTAAATGTCTCTGAAAAACTGTAAAACGTAACGCACTCAATATTAAGCTCGTTTATATTACGGTACAATAAACACAAAATTTTAAAGGAAGAAACACTCGCTTTGCTTGGCTCTCAACATTCTAGAGTCCAACTTTTAGGATTCATAGGACAAATAAAGTATTGGCTCCATCTTTACAGGTGTTTCGTACACTAACGTGCAAAAACAAAGGGATTAAATATATATATATGAAAAAAAAAAGTAATTCATTTGGACTTCGGTTTACACAAAATACTTTTCCCCTGGCACCTAGCAAAAGCACCAACCAGGACCCAGTCCCTTGCATGAAGACAACTCAGGTGATTAGCTGTGACCCAGGGGACATTTGTGTTTACACTATAACCAGCGTCTACAGGGCCAGCTCAGAGCTCTGAGTGAGATGAGCCGATATCAGTGCACTGTGTTTACACCCGTTTTAACAGATACACACTTATCACTGGAGACGCATGAAAACGACAGGTATTTACAGACTGTTGCATACCTTTATGCGTCTGAAGCCTTTAACTTCTCCCTTCTGTACACAGGTAGCTCCTCTGCCAACAAAGAGGAGGTTGGTAAACAGGGCTTGCTCTTTGTTGGAGAACTGCTGTGACCACTCCCAAACCGGAGGGAAAATCACACCCTGGTCTTCTCCTTGAGGGATGGCTTTACTCTTTACAAAGTCCTGTAAACAGAAGAATATACACAATACTGGAGACTTTTCATTTTTCTTATTAAAAGATATCTTCATGCGTGTCATGGTTTGATTTGGAGAAATGCTTATTTAATAAAAGATCTTTGTTCTTTGTTGCATTTCTATACTTGGCTCATCCAAACTGACATCTGATCATACGTTTAATTTCTCACCATTAAGACCTGAGAACGGTGTTTAGGAGAACTGAAGAGAAAAGTACTGAAGAGCGGGACCCACATGCTGTCATTCAATACAATCAAATAGGCCTCTGAGAACTCGAATGCCACTGGGTACTGGTTCATCATCTGCCACACGCAGTCCAGGAACAATGTGAACAGTGGGGACTTTGATAAAGAGAACAGAGAAAAAGAGAATAAGCAATGAGTGGATGCTTCGTCTACTTCATGACGGGAATATTTTAAAAGGAGTACCTCCTCTTTGTCATTTTTCTTCAGATGGTTGCATCTTTCCAAGAAGCGATGGCCAGCCATCACCCACTCCTTCTGCACCAAACTCTGAAAGCCCATCAGGGTGCGGTAGTGAGGGTCCAACATGATTTGAACCAGTGAGGACACCACACAGTTGAGGTCTCGGTCTTCTTCCTCTGTGCAAGTGAAGAATGAATTATGGGGGGGGGGACATTTGTCAAACAGATTTTATGTCAAACAGCGTCACCTACAGCACAAGTCAAACTCTGCTGGAATACCACAAATTAAAACGCATGTGTTCATGCACCATACAAGTGTGAAGACTACAGGCCAGTGTGACTATTAATTTTTTTTTTAATTACCGTACCTTGGAGAACAACAGAGGTATTCTTTCCATCCAAGTAGTACACGACTTCTGCCGCTTGTTTCAAAAACATCCTTAAATTACAGAAAAAAAAAAGACAGTATAATCATTTCCAGTGACTTTTAAATCTGGCATTTTCATAAACTTTATCAAGTTTTATTGTTTGCAGTCTTCGTGCTACATTTAGACTGCGAACAATTTAACAAGATTTTTAGGAAGAAAAAAAACAATCCAAACAAAACACAGAAAGAGTCAGAAATTATTTTTACAGGTTAATCTGTAAAAATTAGCAAGGACTCTAAAGTGATTCCTTAAAACTGCCACAGAACTGAGCATTTACAAATGGCTGACAGCTTGCTTGCATACCTGACGTACTCCAGCCATCGTGTGTTTTCAAGGCAGGTCAGCCATTTCTCCTCCGTCTCCTCAAAAGGATCTGCACAATCAAATCAGCCAATGTCTACAAAGCTGCACGCTCATGTCGTTTCCACAACAACTTGGACTTCACAAAGAGACTGAAGTGCAGCGTTGACCCACTTTAATGGTCAAAAGTTTCAAAGAAGCTCACCTAAGATGCAGAGCTGCTTGAGTTTAACAAAAGCCGTTTGGATGTCCTGGATATCAGGCAAACTTTTCTCCATGTCCAACCTGTTGAGTTCGCCGCTCTGTGGGTGGCTCTTGATGATCGCATTGAAGATTCTGTAACGGCACAAGATGATTTGACATTCAGTTTATTTAAATAAGCAGTTTAATTTAGATTTGCTAATACATTTTTTTTTATATACAGTAGTCCCTCACTACTTCGCAGTTCGTTTATCGCGGACTCGCTCTATCGTGGGTTTTCAAAATAAGATTGGACACGACACACAACTGACTGATGGATGGACGAGCCGCAAGATCGGCATGGAGTTTTGATTTTAAATAAATTATTTTAAATTATTTAGCACCTCCTGCACCTTTGAGCAACCCAGACTGCAGGATAAACTTCCTGCTGCAGCTGATCAGCTGTTCTCCGTGCACATCCTAGAAGTGGGCGTGGCCAAGAGCGCTTGCAGGTGGCTGAGAGCAGCGGAGGCAGAGAGAGGGAAGTCATGACATTCTGTGCTCGTTTAGAGCATTGTTAATAAAAATAAAAATAAATTTATATATATATATATATATATATATATATATATATACACACTAAAATAAACTACCGTAGTACTACTTGTCTATTCCTACTTCGCTGTTTTTCCACTTATCGTGGGGCCTCAAGGTACGGATCCCCCGCGATAAACGAGGGACTACTTTATTAAAAATTTGTTTTTTTGTAATCTGACTTTTTCAGGCTTAACATTTTAGTAGATTTGGGGGCTAGTTTTGATATCAATTTAAAATAATTTACTTGAAAACAACAGAATGTACTAAACATTTATTTACAGACATCTAGTCCTTTTTTTTATTATACAATCAATTTGCAAAATAGTGTTCAAATTTAAATTTAAACATAATAAAAAGCAGATAAGCTTTAAGGTTGGGCCAACTTGTGACTAATACGTTGCATTAAATGTGCAACATTTGACATATACATAGTAAAATCATAAAATATACCTTGCACCTTTAAACCCAATCATACATCAATGCAATGTGATGCTGGTAACATGGGGTCACTGTTTTTTCCAAAGACCCAACAACATGTAAGAGACTGCAATCTGCTAATCTGTAAGAGCATGCATGAATCTGTGGATTGCAAAGGACTCAAAAACAAAGTGATAGATGAAATATTTAATTCACGTTTTACTGTGGCAGACAAACCAAAAGGAGGGAATTATTTTGACTTTGCCATATTGGTTAAAACAAAAACTTTTAGGATGGAAACAAAAACAAGAAAAGTCTGGAAAAGCAAATAATTTTCTATACTTTTCAAAAGTACTTTTCTTAAAAAAAAAGAAAGAAAAAAAACGAAAAACTAAAATTTAATTGCCAACTTTTCCATACTTTATAAGTGCTCTAACCAGGTTAGAGCAGTCGTCCTCCAATGTAAGAGTCGGGGGTTTGATTCCACCAGCAGTCACGTGCCAAAGTGTCCCTGGGCAAGAAGCTGAACCCGTCATTGCCTCTGATGTGTCCCATCGTTGTATGAATGTGATAAAACTCTGAATATTCTTTGTATAGATCTAGAAGAGCGCTGTATGGACGGGTAGAGGCGGCACAGACTGTGTTGTAAAGAACTTTGAGTATCTTGTTAAGTTAGAAAGGTGCTATATAAGTACAGTCCATTTAACATTTATTTACCATTTAAAAGTGTGTTGCAAACCTAATACTATAACCTAATAATTAAAAAAAAAATGGGTTTAAGATGGACTCTACCTCAATATATTTCAGCTTCTACTACACCTGAACCTTAACTGAAGATTAGTCTAACCCAGATCAAATAAAAAAAAAAACAGAAACCAAAATTAAATGTAAGTAATCAGAGCTATTTCTCAGCATGTCATGAAAATAAAAAAACTGCAAAGCCCATTTTCATAAAATACTGTGGGAAAGAATTTAGACATAAAAAGAAACATGATGAGCTCAACATGATTTTTTTTTGTAATTGTGAATTAGAGCACCGACCTGCTCTCTGATAAAAATAAAAAATGTATAAAATTTAAATTACCTTTGATCGATCTTCTTCTGACTTAACTGTTCAGTTATGATGGACATGCGGACAAGAGCGCTCCCATTAGGGTGATTCCAGCACCATATCTACGAGGAGGAGGAAAAAACAACGTAAAACGAAAAACTAGATGTCTCATTAACTGAATTTAATCGACATAAAATCAGCAGGCACTGGTTTTAGCGAACATTGTAAAATTAAACACAATCAATGAAAATATCTGAGCTTACTCACAGGGAGGCGACCATCGATGAAGAATGAAGCAAAGTGCTCCAGATCTTGATTTGCCAAAGAAACTGGAACCACAAAGTGCTCTGGAAGGCTAAGAAATTCAGAAAAGACCGGGGTTATACAATACTACATTCAATTTCACTAAAAGAAAACTAAGAGCAGACACATCCTTTAAACTACACTTACCACTAACCTGTGCCAACCAATTTATTTAATGAAGTACATTTTTATTACTAAAACTGAGCTTTTGCTGGGAATCAAACTATCTTTAAGTATCTATCAAAACCTGCAGATATTAACTTCATAATAATTTGAAAGAACAATTCACAGAGTGCCTGGAATGAGTGTAGCTTGGTGTAAGCAACCATTGAGCAACATTAAGTCATTCTGACAAAGTTCTCACTTTGGATCGATCCATGTCAGCTGTCGATCAGGCTACGTTCTTTAATAAGACATGGATGTTTTTCTCCTGCGACAAGCGCCCAATTAAATGAAATGTAAACGCAGTGTCTAGTTAAAGACACTAACATTTGTCTTACAACTAAACCAGTGGCAGTAGGCACAAATGAGCTTTACAAACAACGTGATCTGCAAACCTTGACGAGATGACATAATGTTCGTTGATGGAGCAGACCCTCCACCCATAAGCGCCGGTTCTCTTGATTTCCCGATCCCAGTCAGATGAGCGGTTAAAAATAGGAGTCTGTAATCCGCCTCTTGGGTTTGAACCATTGACTTGCTTTTCTTTGGGGGGTAAAAATAATATACAATAAAAATGCATATTAAAAAACGACAACAACACAACAAACCTGATGATGTGAATGTAGTGATAAAACTTATAAAGCTTGATGTTAAAAGTTTGTTTTTGCCTTTAAATTGCGTAAAATACCTTAAAATTGGCATTTCTTATTTTTGCCAGACTGACCAATATCTGTGTTAAAATTACTTAATTTTATTTAAAGGGATTCTATTTTAAATGTTTCTACTCATCATGAAGTCCTTTTCTACTACAGTATTTACAGTTCATATTTGATCATTTACTGAACGTGTTTATCACAGTCCAGTTATGCAAACGTATGGTTACGAATATAAGCACATCCAAATAGCCAACACCTTGCTTATAATACCACGATTCTGTGTAGAATTGAAATATGCAGATAAGATGAACTACCAACACTTGAAAATGACACTCAGGCCGTTTACACGACAACGATCCAATAAAAACTGAATTTTTTCCCCATTTCTATTAACACATTCACATGAAAACATTTTAATTGCAATCTCTGGTTACACAGCAACGGTAGACATGGAAAAGGTGTAATTCCCTCGCACGCCACTAGTTGGTGCTATGTTCTTTGAAACTTGAAACTAAGTGTGCAAAAAAAAATCTACCTGAAAGACGCTTAAACAGTCAAGATGGCAGAGAATAAAATATTTCTATGGACAGACGACGAGGTTCAACTGTTGCTTAGGGTGACTTTGAATTATAAAACCACCAAATTTCAAAAGAACATTGACTGGGAATCATGCTAGTCCGCTGTCGATAGTTCCTTCTTCTGTGGATTGTAGGAAGCCGTTATGTTTTGTGTCATACTGCACATGAGCCAAGGATTTCTTGACAGAAAATATCTATTTTTTCTGTTTAAACAACAACGGGCACCGGGATGTTTTTGAACCATTGCACTCTGGAACCCGTTCTCAAATTGTGCCATTGTCAGAGAAAACATTCGCTATTTTCGTGTAAAAGAACAGTACAAACACAATGAAACTCAGAAATCATTTTCGTGTGAACAGGGCCTCAGTGTCTCTTCCCGACTCACTGAACAACACACACAAATGTTTATTCATAGGCCTGTCACGATAACAAATTTTGCTGGGCGATTGTCTCAGAAATTATTGCGATAAACGATAATATTGTTTGAAATTTAACAATAATTAATTGTCCAATTTTAGAAGAAATGTTGATTTGTTTGGAGTGAAGTACATTTTTGACCACCTGATGGCAGTATAAGACTGTTTGAACCAAAGGATGGATCGTTGAGCAGCTGTCTCTTTAAGACAAATGGGAGGGAGGGCCCTTGACGTGGCATGGGCTGTAGAAGATGAGACGGGAGTGGATTTTCACTCCTGTTCTGGTCCCACAGAAAAAATCCTGTCCTGTCCCAATCCTGGGCCAGAATAAAAAAATAACTCCTGTCCTGTCCCACTCCTGGTAAGATGACTTCTGCTCCCATTCAGAATGACTCCCACTCCTGTACCGCTCCTGTTTTTTTCTTCCATTTAGTCTTTAGGAAATACATTGAATTTGATTTAATCTTCTACCCATTCCTTTTTATATTACTTTGTGTTTAACACATTACAGACTGGAGAATCGCAAGTCTGGTATTCCAGAGTGAAGGCTTATTGAAAGAAAACTACAAAATAGCGGCACCTGTCCAAAGTTTATTTTATTTTTTTGACCCATTTGTTGGTTCCCGCTCCTGTCTGGTCCTGTTCACTTTTTGTCCTGTCCCATCCCAATCCTGTGAGTTATAATAAAGTTGACTCCAGTCCTGCCAGAATCCAGCGGGAATCCCATGACCCGCAGGACTCCTGAAAAAATGTCATCCTCTAATGGGCTGACATAGAGACATGGCGGATGCTCGGTGATATGCTCATTAGCATAGCATTTTTCACACAAAGCTTTTTAATACTTTTTTTTTTTTTTAATCAGTAAACAAGTTCTCAGCTTCTTTTTGCAGAGAAAAACAACTTTTTACACGAAGGCACTGGTTTCAACCGTGAATTTTGGAGCTCGACAAAACGGAGGTTTATTCCTGAGGTCAGCCTGTTAGCTTAGCTCGTAGCTTAGCAGCTTTTAAAGATCCAAATACGTGATTTTGGATCATTAAAACAGATTTTAAAGAGAAAAGAGAAAGGGAGGGGGCAGTGAAGAGCCCCGGAGTTGAGCTTTTTGTCATCCAGTGTCTTCAGTAGAAAGAGAGACACGAAGAAACGATAAAGCCGATAAATGAAAAAGAGGTTGATAATATAATTTATCGTGCGATTAATTGATTTATTGTTTATCGCGACAGGCCTATTTATTCATACATTACATGCTACATGTGGTATGGTGGGGCAGGCAGTTCTGTTGTGGCTGGGGCACCCCTCTTGGATAATACTAGGGGTAAAGCAGATTTTAATTGTTTAAGTACCTTTACATTCATGGTATCGCTGCCCTTGATACTCAAAGCCAAACAGCAGCTGAAGATCGGCTGGATGGGAATAGTGGGCAATAGCAAGGCAAACCTGTAACAAAATGAAGAAAAAACACTGCCATTCAGCTGTACATCAGTGGAACAACTGAATAGTGAAACTACTAGTAAAAAGTTCGATTTGGTTTTACGGCAGCCTTTCAGCTCAGAACCCAAGCTCATTCTGGAACACTACAATCACCCCCGAGGCGTGCGCTTTACTCGTACCAACACAAACATAGGTGAAACCTGAAAAAGCAAAAGTCTGACAGAGCATACAGCAGGGTTACAGGACTGAATCTCTGCGGCTCTGCCTCGGGTCTAACAAAGCAGTCTATTCAGCTGTGAACAACACCAGAGGACACACAAAAAAGTGTGCGTGAGTGTGTGCACGCGGGAGTCTGTGTGTGTATAAATATATAAAAGCTGCTCCCAACTCTGTAATTTCCTATGGCAAAATGAACTATTATAGGCTGGCAAATTCCATATGTAAAAGTGTTTTAAAAGACCCAAGTCCAGTTTTAGGTTTGTGCGGTAATTACATACATGGTGTCCATGAATAAACTCATAAAAAACCGAGCGGACACGTTTTACCGCCCTATACTGTTAGCAGCTTCTCATGTTTCATTCAAACTTGTTCTTCCCTGTTTATAAAAGTGCTATACACTTGGTCAAAAACAAAAACAAACAAAAAAAAACTAATGTAGGTAGATGTGGTGCTGCAAATGCACACATTCATCGAAACGGCTCCAGAAGACAACAGGAGAGACATGAACTGAGTGCTGGTGTAAAGAATTAGACGTGCTTGCTTTGTTTCGGTGTAGGAGACAAGTGTGACTCAGAGCCGTTTGCTCCAACAATCAAGATTAAATTCTGTTTCCTTCACCTTCGACGAGCATTGTGTTCACAATGTCCCTTTGTTGTTTGACAGATGGATACACTTCCTGAAAATATGGTCATTTCCATTAAAATGGAATGTGGCACAGCTGTACACAAACGATAATATCACATAATATCACACAGTGGCAACAGCGCCGAGCCGACTTCACAAACTGGAAAATATTTATATATATTTTTCAAAATCCAATAAAAAGAAAGGAGTAATGGAAACGGACAAAAAGAGCTAAATTTTGTGCATATAGTTTATTGGTTGTTATTAGGGGTGCACCGATAAATCGGCCCCGATTTCCTTAATTTTGGGAAATCGTCCGATACTTGCACGAGAAAACAATTTTACTGATTTTTTTTTTGTAGTTTTAACAACAATTGTCTGAATTTCATTTATATTTCAGAGCACTACCTCATGGCAGGATATTGTTCAAGGGTATGTTTTTCAATACAATAATATTGGAAACTTGAAGGTGCATTGTGGCTTTATAACTCCTGACAGAGTTGCTTATAAAACAAAATCGGTATCGGCAGGTCAGACTTTTTAGAAATCTGTGGTCGGCCATAAAACTGCAACACGTGCAGCCCTAGTTGTTATATTAGAAAACAAATGTTTTATTTCTAATTTATTAACATGCCCGTTTAAAAGAATGTGTTCATAATTGGACCTGAACATTTGACAATCTATACTTTTATTGAGCAATTACTTTTTCATTTTGAAATTTTTATCCATGTGGATTTTTATATTATGAGAAGATTACTCATTATTTTTGTTTAATTTACCAATTTACTGACCTCAAGTTATTGAAATTGAGAGTAAAGTGAAAGAGGAAATAACTCACTTTTTTGGAAGCCTCGGGCCCAGCCTCGTGAAAGCAGAACCGTATAATACGCCAGTCTTTGCAGTAAAGAATAAGCTCTGTGGGGTTGAATTTTAGTTTCTGGTTGGAGCCCAGAACTTTCTTCTTCCCCTTTGTATCATTAACTGAGACAAAGATAAAAAATAGAGAAAATTAAGAGTTCACATGCACACATAGACACATGTTGATAACAGCACTAGATCTAGACATGTCCCGTTATGATTTTAAAATATGTAATTAAAAGTGTTCAATGTAAAAATTCTATGGCACAAAAGTAAAAGTCAATTCCAGGAATTACATACAAGCAAACACAGTTAAAAAGATCTATCGGTACTTCTTATTCTGTATCTTTAACATACATTTTTATCACCAATTTATTCTGTCTGATCATGAGAACTCTGATGTTGCTTGTTAAGTTTTAAACGGGTCAAAAACAACCGGAGTAAAACAAACTCTCGAGCTTCCCACTGTAACCCAACAAAGCCAGCAGCACAGACGGAGATAAACCGAGATTTCCCTGTGACATCACACGTTATCAGATTGCCGTCTGCAAACAAAAAACAACAACCGACACCAGCTGCTTCTAAAAAAATAATGAAAGGTGGACCAGACCTTCTAACAAACCTGGTTAGATTACTCCAGTCAACGGAGTTCACTAGGATGCAACTAATTTAAGGTATTTTGAGTTCCTGTTGTTCGAAGAAAATGGTGTTGGGAGTATTTTGACATTAGAGGTAAATGAGGCATCTCAAAAGTAACAAACTCTCACTTCTATAAATAAATAACGCATATTTTTTTTTTTTTAATCTGAAGTGTGGCTGCTTTACAAACACTGAACCCGATGTACCTGTAACTACTTGCTCCAGACAAGTCAGCGGGATGTCATGCTCTCCGAGCAGCAGGTGGGGCAAATTGGATTTCTGTACAAAGGCAAAAACGATGGCAAAACAAAACTGGATTAACAGCTTGCAAACATTTCATTAGTCCAAAACCTCTAGAAAGTAACGATTCTGTTTGTTGTGCTGTGCTCCTCAGACTGAGCCACGCTGAAGTTGTTTCATGCCAACAATCTGTTGCATAGATGGAAATGACGTCATTCTCTCGCTTCTTGTGCAATCACCAGCGAGGAGGTTTTCCTTCCTCTTTGACGGATGCACTTAGTGTACAAATAAAGTTGTGCGTTTTCTGGTGTACCAATATACAGTATATGGCACACATATAAATCAAGACTTCAATTCTGCATTTTAAGCCTTGTGGAAGATGAACACAGGAATTATTAGAACAAAAAACAATCAAATGAAAGCATTTGTATTTAATTTTTTAGAATTTGTTTTCTTTAAAGATATCTAGCATTTAGACAAATACCTGCTTCTTAGGTGGAACATCTTGAGGAATGAAGGAGACCTTAAAGTTGGTGCATATCAACTTCCCCCACAGATCGTTTTGGCTGCTCTCAGCACTGATGCACTTTTTCACAAAGAGAGCTTCATTAACTACTATCTCTCCTGGGTCAAAAAGATAAAAAAAAAAATAAGTTTTATTATTACCATACAGTGCTGCTGCAGTTAATAAAGACAATTTAAAAAATAAAATATAAAAGACAATTTGGGATTTCAAGACACAAATTTAACATCAGAAAACATGTTCACATTTCTTTCACTTCCAGATTTAAACAACTACTCCAAAACGCATTACAATTAGTTTTTTTTAATGATTAACTTTACTTTGTATGCATGTTAATTTATGATGATTAGCATAAAATGCTGAAATTTTCATATCCAAATGTGAAAATATGGCTACGTTCTATATTTTGCTTTATAGATAACTCGGAGATGACTCTGTTCAGTGAAAGCATTTCTGTACGTCACTTGTGCTTTCCCCTTTTTATCTGTGTTGTTACTTCCTACACTTCGGTGTGTAAAGAGTCTTGGATACGAGGAAGAGGGTGTGGAAGTACAAAAGTACCGACGTGCCAATAACGTAAATTGTAACTTTCAAAATAAAGTTGATTTGATGCAGAGGTTTCACAAAAAAAAACTGTGTAGTCAAGAATATTGAGATGAGTTTGTGCTTACTAGGTACATTTTCTTAAGCCTTGCATCAACAGACAAGCCCGGAAATTTAACTCTGGAGCCGAACGGAAAGAACCGCAACACATCAGAGAAACAAAATCTGTGGCACGGAGCTGAGGGCAGCGTCACACCTTTCTGGACTCTCATCAAACCAAACCCAACCCTTGTTAAGTATATGGTTGTTACATTTACCTACTCACTAGAAAGCTTTCAGCAAATTATTGGAAAAAATAAAAAAGGATTTCTAACAGCGTGTGCATGGAATGTGCCACAATTTTCTTACACATACTAAGCTTTAATTTAATTTCTTTGAGGAACAGAAAGGTCAACAAACTTTCATGCCAATCTTAATATGCTAAAAGGTAACATCCATCTATTCACTCTATCTATCTATCTATCTATCTATCTATCTATCTATCTATCTACTGTATCCATCTATCCATCCATCTATCCATCCATCTGTTCACTGTATCCATCTATCCACTGTATCCATCTATCCATCTGTTCACTGTATCCATCCATCTATCCACTGTATCTATCTATCTATCCACTGTATCCACTGTATCCACTGTATCCATCGATAGATCTATCTATCCATCTATCCATCTACTGTATCCATCCATCTACTGTATCTATCTATCCATCCACTGAATCAATCTATCTATCTATCTATCTATCTATCTATCTATCTATCTATCTATCTATCCATCCATCCATCCACTGTATCCATCCACTGTATCCATCCATCCATCCATCCACTGTATCCATCCATCCATCTATCTATCTATCTATCTATCCACTGTATCCATCTATCCATCCACTGTATCTATCTATCTATCAACTGTATCCATCTATCCACTGTATCTATCTATCCATCATCCATCCATCCATCTATTCACTGTATCTATATATCCATCCATCCATCCATCCATCTATTCACTGTATCTATGTATCCATCCATCCATCCATCCATCCATCCATCCATCCATCCATCCACTGTATCCATCCACCTATCTACTCTATCTACCTACTCTATCTAACTATCCATCTATCTATCTGTGTTTGTGTGTTATAAAATAGTAAACTGAGGTCATTTCCAAACGTGCTTAATCTAAAATATTTGCCGATTGGTTATAAATAAATGGTATAAAAAATCTTTTTGAAGCAGCATACTGTTTTTCACCTTTACTTGATCACTAAATGGTTTAGACTTAACCACTGGAGTAGCAGGGTGGAGTCACTGCAGATGCGTCAAAGCTTTGCCTCAGAGAAGCCAAACAAGACACGTGAAAAAGAAAGAAGCTGATCATGAAACCTGTTCATCTGCCTGACTCACTGAACAGAGACACACAAAAGGACAACCTTGACGTAATATTATAGTTCACAACAACATCAGGTTCATGTTGACCTGGGACCTAAATGAAATTTACTTACAAGTTTTATGTGAACAAATATTTTTGTTTCTCAGAGCGACACTGAAGAACCAAGGGGAAAAATGCAGAAGGTATATCCAGGAGTTTTTACTTTAGGAAAAGCATAATAACATTAAACATGTCTAACAAAGAACAGCCTGGTTTAGATTATGGTATATAGAAACACCACGACACCACTGGAGATACTTACAAATCAAACTCATTGCTGCAAAATTATAATAAAAGTAACTTCCTAAAGCACCATTTGATAAACGAAGGCAGTTTAGTAACACGGCCTTTTCAGTCACAAAACTTTATGTGGACTGGACGGACTACTTTTAAAGTGTGTAGGAGAGCCACACCCGACCACCTCAGACACTCCCTCGCAGCAGGTTAGAGGAAATTTACCACAAAACTAATATTTTAAGATTAAGTTAGAGTCTAACAATAATAACGATCTATGAGAAAATGTTACAAATCTAAATAAACATGTTTTAGTATCAATCAGGTACATTTAAAATGCACTTATTATAATCTTAAAATACCTTATCAATTGAGCTTCTACATCAAAGAAGGATAATATTACTGATTAAAAAGGCATAGTGTGGTTTTTTTGGTCAACGTGTTGCAAAGTTAACAAGCGTTTTGTGAGAAACATAAAGATACACGTTTGAAAATTAAACGATTATATTTAATGCATATTTAAAGAAGAGAGAGACAATGGAGTACGAATCAAAACAGAAGTAAAAACAAAAATCAGAAAACAAAACTGAACACCAATGTGGGTTTTCTCAAAGATCGTTGGTTCAGAGAGCGAGGGAGGAAAAATATAATCAGGGTGTGAAGGAACATAAAAAACAAACCAACCTGGAAGTAATGTGGGCTCCAACTTTTTAACAGATGGTGCAACAGTTGTCTTCACATCAGTCTAGAAAAAAAAAAAGGAACATGCTTTATCAGAAATGTGCTGACTCGACACGGATAATCAACAGTCCTAATATTGTGCATAGAGCAGAGGTGGAAAATATGGCCCCCATGCAACCACAATGAGAATCGTGCTTTGATTGATTTTGGTAAATTTGTGCTACTTTAACCTCCGACCACCGCTTGAAAATGAGTTTTGCTGGGTGGCACGGTGGATCAGTTGGTAGGTCTGCTGCCTTTCAGTGAGAAGGTCACTGGTCCAAATCCCAGCCGGGGACCTTTCAAGGTTCAAGGTTGTTTATTGCCATTTGCATCGCATGTGGTGCATGAGGTGGAATGAAATTGTGTATGCAAGGTCCCAGTTACACCCAAACATAGCAAAAGTATAAAAAGAAACAGTAAATAAAGATCTAAGATATACGCTAAACAATAATAATGTAATATAATAATAATATAAGCTTAATAATTTAAGCTTTCTGGGTGGAGTTTGCATGTTCTCTCCGTGCTGCGTGGGTTTTCTCCAAGTACTCCGGTTTCCTCCCACAGACCAAAAACATGCATGTTAGGCTGATTGGTAACTCTAAATTGTCTCTAGGTCTGTGTGTGTGAGAGAGAGGTCGTTTGTCTCGTTTGTCTCTATGTGGCCCCGCGATGGACTGGAGACCTGTCCAGGGTGTCCCCTAACTCTCGCACAGCGACTGTTGGATATGGGCACCAGTGACCCCTGCGACCCCAAAAGGAAGAAGCGGGTAAAGATAATGGATGGATGAAATATTTAGGAGCCAAAAGGAGCTAATGCCAACAGACATGTTTACACACTGACACTAATAATATTGCAGATATTGTGCATGCCTTTAGAGTAAATGAATGACTAGGAAGTTAAAGTGTCACTGCAAAATATATGAGCAACACTTGAGCCACCTGATTCATAAATCTTTTTTATTTTAACAGAGAGACTAAGTTTATCATAATATGACAGGAATTTAAAAGCTAAATGAAATAATTGCTATTGATGTTGCGATTACAATTGCAATTATATTATTAATGATCATTATTTTGTTGTTGCTCAAACACCGCTTTTAGTTTGGCTGCTTGTAAACAAACCCATAAACCCGTGGGCAAAACAAGGCAAAGAGGAGCCCGTTCTCTTTTATTGGTAACAAAATTATTATAAATTCACCAAAGATTTTAAAGTTGCAATTCTCCAAACTGCAAAGGGGAGAAGATATCGAGTTCAACATCCCAACATGTCACATGCTGAAGTGTCCCTGAGCAAGACAGTGAACTCCTCATCGCCTCTGATGTGTCCCATCAGTGTATGAATGAGATCTAAAGCTCTGATTAGTCTCTACAGATTATCTTTGTAGAGACGTAGTAGAGTAGAATGCTGTGTGAATGTGTGTGTGGAGGTAAACGAAGGCACAGATTTTGTTGTAAACAGCTTTGAGTATGTTGATTAGATGGAAAGGCGCTACATAAGTACAGTCCATTTACCATTTTTATATTTCAAAGTAATCAGAAAAACTTCATTTTGTGGTGAAGTTGCATGTGTAGTTAAACTACAACCACGAAACTATAAAAAATATTTTTGTAACTAACATTTCCTGTAATTAGAAAACAACAGGACAAACACTATTTACTTAAAACATTTTAATATTCTGGCCGTAACAAAGACTGAGCAATTTGCAATGATGGAAATAGGCCTCATGCCCAATAAAGCAGTAATACTTTACTGCAAGTAAAAATACTTCATAAAAAATAAGTCTTAAATCAAATTCACAAGTGTTCTCTAGGTGCTAAAATATTCCAATAGATATATTGTAAAGTTTGCAGACGATACAGCGGTGGTGGGATGCATCACGAACAACGATGAGTCCAGCTACAGGCAGGAGGTGGAACACCTGGAGAGCTGGTGCAAACAGAATAACCTTCACATCAATGTGAAGACGACGAAGGAGATGGTTGTGGACTTCAGAAGGAACAAACACACCTACGACCCCTGAACATAAGAGGATCTGCGGTGGAAGTGGTCTCCAGCTACAAGTACTTGGGTGTGCACCTGAATAACAACCTCAGCTGGAGCAACAACACCACCAGCCTGATCAAGAAAGCTCATCAGAAACTCTACTTCCTGAGGCGGCTGAGGCGAGCTGGTCTGGGAAGCTCAGTCCTCACCTCCTTCTACAGATGTGCAGTGGAGAGCATCCTCTACAAAAAGAAAAGCTTTGCAGAGAGCGGTGAAGGCTGCACAGAACGCTGTTGGGAGTCAGCCTCCCCACCATCACAGACATCTACACCTTCAGATGCAGGAACAGCCTGCATCATGAAGGACCACACTCACCCAACACGCACACTTTTTGCCCTGCTACACTTGCTACACTCAGGGAGGAGGTTGAGGAGCATTAAGTGTAGAACCACTAGACTGAGGAACAGCTTCTACCCTGAGGCTGTTGGACTCATGAATCTCTAACTAGAATAATCACTGTGAAAAAAAATCACATCATGTTGCTGCTGATCTGTTTCATGTTGCTGCTGATCTGTTTCGTGTTGCTGTCTTCATGCGTGCTCATCTACTCACACAGACTCATGTTCGTGCTGCTGTTCGGCGTATTATTTTGTGCTACTAGTGCTTAACATATTTCTAGTTGACGTTTTTCTTAGCTCACATCCTAGATCTTATTACTGTTTTTCTTGTACATTTTATACTTTTGTTGGATGTAACTGGGACCCTGTGTACACAATTTTGTTCCACCGTACCACATGTGCTGCGTATGATAAATAAACTTTGAATCCTTGAAGATTTGGTCCCAATTCGTTAAAATAAATAAATAAATAAACCAGTGTTGGTGATTTAAACTACTACACTTAAATGTATTTATTTAGTAACAGCAAGTGCTTAATATCAATAGTAAAGAAAAAAAAAATCAAAATCTAAGTTATGGTATTTATATGTTGGTTGAGGTGTATTTTATTTATTTATTGGTGAGACTTTTGATCACCTGATGAACACAAATAAACTTCAACCAGGCTACATTACCTTTATCTTTAGACATGACCTGCTTCCACCCCTTGCATTACCATTAGTGTCTAAATGAGTCAATGACGTAGGTGCAAAACTCTAAATGTACCTAATGAAGGTATAATAAGTTGGCCAAGAATTTAATCAAGCAAAGAAGGCCGTGCATCTTGAACATTTACTTGCATCTCAGCTTTTTTTTCCCCTATACTGAAAATGATGGAAACAAGTAAATTTAGTCCTAAAGTAACTCGATAAAATATTCACCACAAAAAGACCTGGGCAAACATATCGGTTTACTTTCTCCGACACTATACAAACTTACCGGGAGAGGAGGAAGGTAACTCCTAAAAGTTGGTTTTGTAGCTTTGACAGAAAACATTGTTTATATCCGCCCTGGTTGTGTCCGATGCTCATGAAGTTAATGAACGAGTGTTTGGAAAGTTTGGCTCAGCTGAGTTAATCCTAAACGTCCGTGTGTGAAAACATTCGTCGAGACATTCTGGGCGAACGAAGACACTCCTCCGTTTGGATCAACAGTCAGTCGGCTGCTCCAACAACTTGACACAACTTAATGCGGAGACGTCGGCGTTAGCTTGGTTAGCTAGCTAGCATAAACTACTACATAAACTTTTTAAATGTCGTCCCATATGCAGATATGCAACTGTAAAAAAAAGGCAGAGGCGTCAGCTAATGGCCTACATTTTCTTTACACCTGTTACCACACAAGTTACCCTCACTTACTTCCTCAAAGTCCAACTAATTCAACTAACGCAGTACCTGACGCTACAAACGGCTTGACGGCCATCTTGGAAGCCGAGGTCCCGCCCTATTTCCGGGCTCTGCTGTTGCGGTCTACCGAGACTTTGCGACTTACCGACCAGTTAAAGCACAGTAAGATAGGAAGTTGTGCCCATTTTATAAACAAAATGTATACCTGCTATGATACGCGACACAAAACACGAGTCGCTATTTATTTTCAAAGTTACAGCAGAGCTTGTTTTGGTTCGTAAAGTACGCTGAACGCGTTTGGACTACAAATCCCATCAGGCATTGAAAATGGTCCCTTGGAAGCTGGCGACTTTGTTTTCTGCCTGGAGCAGTTTAGGTTTTTCTCTTTAACTTTTTTTTTTTTTTTAACGATCTGAATAGCAAACATGACACCTCCGTTTTCATTTAATTTCTTAATAAATTAGCAGTCTTTCACGCATGTTTGTACATATTTGTATGTATTTTGTTTGCAGATGATACTACTTTTCTTTGTGTGGGTGAAAATGTTGTGCAAATGTTGAAGATGGCACAAACAGAATTTGTGAAAATACAAAATTGGTTTCAACTAAACAAATTATCTTTAAATGTAGATAAAACAAATTATATGATTTTTAGTAATAACAAGAAAGTGCTTGATACTCCATTTAGAGTCGATGGAATTGAAATTAATAGAGTCAATTCTGGGTGTCATCATTGATGAAAAACTAACATGGAGATCTCACGTAAAAAACTTAAGAACTAAAATAGCTGAATCGATTGCAGTAATGTACAAAGTTAGAGAGTTATTCAACGATAAAGCAATGTTTCTATTGTATAATGCCATTATTGTTCCACATTTAATTTACTGTATTGAAGTCTGGGGTAAAGCATGTAAAACAATTACAAATCCAATTTTTATTTTACAGAAAAGAGCCATAAGAATTATTACCAGAAAAGATTATAACCATCCGTCAAATATATTGTTTCATCAGCTAAAGATATTAAAATTTTATGACTTGGTTGATTACAATATCTTACTGTTTATGTATGGGGCCAACAAAAACATACTACCTACTAACATTCAAGGGAAATTTGTTAAAAGAGAAAGTAATTATTATCTTAAGGGGATGGAGATGTTTGTGAAGCCGTGGTGTCGCACCAGTCTGAAGATGCGATCCACTAGATCTCAGGGTGTTAGATTGTGGAATGATCTGGAGGTTGATATTAAAAAAGCCAAAACTATGTACATATTCAAGAAGATGATAAAAAAATTTTTTTTTTAAAATATTAAGTATAATGTGAGTTCATAAAAATTGTTTACAGTTGATCTTGTATTTTAGCTAAGTTTTTATTTTATTATTTTTTATTTTTTTATTAATTCATCTTGCTTTTGTATAGTAATTTTGTTTGGAATATATTTTGGGGACATGGGGCAGATTTTATAAGAATTCATTCTTCTTCTGCTGCCTTTCATTTTATTTCTGTGATTGTATATATTTTTTCTTTTCTTTAAATTGTATTATATTTGTTGTTTGGATGAAATGAAATGAATAAATAAAACATACATACATATTTAAGCAAGTGAAAACTGTTTTTATTTGTTTATCAAAACAAGCTACAATAATGATTGAAACATGATGACCTAGTTTGGTTGGGGAATATTTACTTACAAAGGATTTGTGAATAACAAAAAAGGTATTTTCTAATGAGCTCCAGTGTAATTTGACACTTGACAAACAGGTGTGGTCTGTTCACTGTTCTATCAGTTAGGCAGAAAAAAATGTTTTAATTTAATTAATCTGCTACTTGAATTTGTTGTGAGTTGTGCCTTGTCATCTGAGGAACACACATTTACATATTTATATACAATAAAAAGTCAAGAACCCAGAGTACTTTTTGGTTTAAACTGATGAGCATACTTTAAAAAAAGAAAAGAGAAGTAAAGTAGCCTTTACTCATTTATAAAGTCAAGTTTATATGCAGTAACTTTAATGACCAGTAGTGGGTAAACTTTTTGGCATTTAAAGGTAATCAGAATTAGAAAAAAAAAATATATATATATATATATATATGACATGCATGAGGGGGAAGGGGGCTGGTGGAAGAAACTGCAGTAATAAAGACATAAAGGTTACTGCTCAATGATGGGAAAATATACACATTGTATTACTTCAAGCTTTAAATATCAGTTCATCCATCCATTTCCACCTCCTTTCCCTGTGTCCTCACAGGGACACATAAAAAAGATTACTGCGTGGGGAGAACATGCAGAAACTTTTAGAGACGAATCTGCAACTTTCTTGTTGTGAAGCGAAGGCTCTACTTATTTTTACCTAGCTGCAATGTTCATTATTGACCACAAGAGGGCGCAAAAACAATGTTTTTAGAGCACAGTAACCCGAAGGTTTTAAAAATGAGTGTAACCCCATCCCTTCAAAAAGAGAGGATGTTATTTGGAACCACCCTCAGAGACTGAAAAATTGACCTTACACTTAACAACCTGCTAATACTTGTCAAATTCTTCTTCCACACGTGTAAATGGGGAAATAGAAAACCTGACTTTTCAGTTTTTAAAATGGATAATCAAGTGAGATCCTTAAAACTGATGAAAAGCAAACAAGGTGTACAGCTCCTTGATGCCCATGAAGAACTGAATGTATTTGACGAGAACTGATGCCCCTCTTGTTATTTTATATTTTATTTATTTATTTTGCTGTTGGTTTTTCCTTCGTTTAACATTGGACACGTTTTTTCATGTTATATTTCTGTGTGCCTTTAACATGTACAACCTGAGGTATTTCTTGTGTATACATGCCACGGGATTTTGCACATCTGTTTAAAATGTTTAATAATAAATAAATACATAAAAACTGAATGTAAGCGACTATGAATGATACTGTACATGTAACACTTAAGAGTATTATAAGGAAAAACATAAAATCACTAGAATGGACTGAAAAATCACAAAAAATGCCTTAAAACTTAAATGAAAAACAACAATAGAATAAAAAGTTGGGCATGTGAGGAAACTATAATTAACAAGGGGTAATGTTAAAATAATTAGATTTTTTTTTTTTGCAAAGATTTCTTATTGCATTAAGATATTCACATTATGTCTGATGGAAAGTTGGCAAAGAATAAAATTAGATTTATGACAAAACATGTTTGGATTGTATTAATAATTTATTAACAAATGATAAAGTTACATTAGAAAACAACAACAATATATATATATTTATTTACAAAAAAAACAACAACCAATAAATGAAAATTAAGAAAACGAGCTAGGTTGTGCAGTACAACATGTATTATCTGTAAATTCCTTCTAATATTGAATTTATCACATACAAAAACGTATATGAATAACTAAATGTGAAAAGTCAGCGTATTTTCCCATAAGTTATACAAACTCATGCCTGAAAATCCTGTTCCTGGGAAAAACCAATGCAGACATGTTCTTGTTTTTAGTTTTCTACATCACCCTACATTCTAGTGTTTTGTTTTTGTTGTTACATTTTCTTCTAAATATAATTTTATTCTCACTTGTTAAATAATCTCAATATGTGCGCATCCTTATCCATTATTGTCTTTGTTGTCTACTGTTGTCATCACTCTGTTAGAATCAGGTCTCTCTTCTAAATGAGTCCCCGAGGCTCAATGGGATTAACCTGTTTAAATAAAGGTTGAATGAATGAACATTGCGTTTGATATACGTTTTAAATCTCAAGTAAACATGTACCCATTGAAAAACAGTTTAGTCTCTTTCAATTCAACAGTATTATTTTGTTTATTTGTTTTTGCTATGAAAGTGTACAGTGGAGTAATAATAATATTTTTAATAATATTTTAATACCATTTTAAATATTATTATTTAAATTTTTGTTTGTAAAAATGCAGCTAGATAAAGTTGTATTTCCATAATTTATGAGCATGCATACAGCGCCCAAAACACAATGAAGCTTGAACTGATAAAAAGAAGGAACCTTTGCGGTTTAAAACCTTTAAATAATGAGTCCTAGGAGAACGTCTGGCTGGATGACGTCATTCGGATGAGACGGGCCAGAGCTGCGCGCATGCCCAGTGAGGCCCCGCCCAGAAACTGAATATTTAAGTACCCCGCGCGCTCGGAGCCGTTGATTGGACCGGCGGCGGCTCCGTTTCCCGTGTTGTGTGTCCGAGCTGCGTTTTGACGGCTCTCCAGAAACTCTGAGGGACTGAACGATGGACTCGGGACGCAGCTGAGAGGCCGCATCCATGCTGTCCGCGCTTTGTCGGAAGTGACTCCTGTAAACTTGGATTTTATTTCTTCCGCTTTAGCTCGAATAAGCGTTTTTGTTTCAGGCACCAGCGAACTTCACGGAGGCTCGCACAAATCCACCGGACCGTGGGAATACGACGGAGAAAAGTGCGACAGATTAGAGGATGGTGAGTGTTCCCGTACGGTGCCACTTGTTTGGAGCAGTTTGTCATTAAATATATTCCTCATTAACACCAGAGGAAGGAGGGGAGACATGTAATTAATGTAAATAGAAAATACAAGAACTACAATAACATGAACTGGCTTTATATATATAT